TCCCAATTTTCAAAATTGGAAGGTTTTGATATTACAGTTGTGGTGAAATAATTATCATTTTATTTAGTGATGACTTGAAAGAACAGTAGTAGCAATACTGATATAATAAAGACAAGTCATACAGTAGTACTTTTAAATAAAAAGTTGATTTTGACAGCAAGGTATAGTGATACATATAATACTAGCACCCTGGATGCTGAATCAGAGACAGTGTGAATTACATAGACCCTGCCTCAAAAACAGTAACAAAAGTCACATGTATGTAACCTTTATTATAGTGTACTATACTAATTGTTCATTATTAATAATTTTATTTAGTTAGCTCTTAATGAAAAAAAAAATTGAGAGTGTCTAGGTTTTTCTCAACCCAAAATTTCAAGACTAAATGGCTTAGATACCAGATCAACAGTAGTCACTAAAATTTAACCTAATACAATACCTTTCAAATTCTTTGTCTCTCATAAACAGTGAGATGATGATCTGAAAACACAGACACTGAAGGGACTCTACCTGGCCTGGATTTGGCAAACATGGCTCTGGCAGGCCCTGCCTTTCTCCCCCACATCCTCTGCCCTGCTAAAAGCTAGCAACCATTATATTATATGCTTTTAGCTAGCCAGCAAGCTCTATTCTCTTTTTTGGCCCCTTTTTCCTCCTCCTGAGACTCACTACCAAGGTCCAGCTATTAAAATATTGATATTGAGCAATTAATAGCCCACTTTAGGCTACCTTAATTAACATGGCCAATATAAATTATACAACTCATCCTAAAACAGATGTTTTCCTTTTACATTTATACACAATTTGTCTATGGGCCACTTCTATCTCTTCTCTATCCAAAGGCAATATTGTCTGACAGAGGCAATATCTCTTTCTCTTGTCCTCTTCCCCTTCTCTTTTATTTCCTGTCTTTGTCACTTATTTCATGCCCTTTTCCCTTCTGGGGCAAAGAAATCTCCTTTGTGCTGAGAACTTGGTCTTGGTGTATCTTATCCCAATATAGATACTTTCTGACAGGTGAGAGAAAACAAGGAGAAAGTAGAGTTTAGTAAAGATCATAAAGACAGTGAAAAATTAAGGGAATATGTGACAGACTTTAATGACCTAAACATATTTTTTCAGAAAGCAAGCAAACAGAGCTCCTACAAGAGGATATTCTTAGTGCTGTCATGAGGGTATCTGTGTAATTTTCATTAAAAAAAAATCTTTGGAAATGAGCAAAGAGGTAATTAATGTAGGACTGGCAAATTCTCTGGGTATCATTTCTTTAGCCCCATACTCTGTTCTAGTAAGGGGGCCCATCTGTGGAGATAATCACATGCCATTCACATGCTATTCTCTGGATAAATAGGCTATTCATAGTTCTGCTTTGTCTATCTTCATCTTTTTTTTATTTCTAGCTGCTGGCCTTGGCTAGTTGCTGACTGTTAGCCTTGGCCAGTTTTGCTACTCACTGACCTTGCAGATACTGCTAGTCTCCAACCTTGGATAGTGCCATGCTGCCTGCTGATAAAACCATGCTCTCTTTATTCTCTCATTTATGTGGGAAGTTTGTAGTTTTTTTTTTTTTTTTCCCACAGAGGGCATTGATCCTGACTGTCAGCAGAAAGCAAACTCCTTTGTCATTACTAAAGTTAATATCTAAGCCAAACTCTACCAAATATGGGAAGCATTATATATATATATATATATATATATATATATATATATATA